AGAAAAAGATTTAAGAAATGCTCAATTTTTAAAATTCATTTGCATGTCAGCAAGAAATGAAAAAATGAACAACCTAAACACTAGGTCTAAGTTCACATCACTCATTATTTCAAATACATTTTTTTCCCCAACTTGAAATTCACTGTCTTTCTAAATAGGCATAGAGATTGCTAAACTCTGTTCTATTTTCAAAATTACCAAATAGAAACTTAGGTTACATATTTGAAAGAACAGATGATATACAGACGTAAAGAAATGATGCTATGTGCAGATCAAAGAAATCTTAGTGATTAAAAATTAAACTCCATTTGCAAAAATATATTAGCCAGGCTGGTGAGCCAGTAAGCACTGTTATAATTATGTTCATGTGCACCTTGGGGGTGCTCAAATCACAAGTCAAAACTGTTTCAACTCTTAAGGATATCTGATTATAAACTAACATCCAAGCACCACAAGTACAGTGAAAAAATGCCAAAAGCAGTACCAACACTCTCCCCCTATCTCCATGCTTATCATTACTGAGAAAGTATACTTATTTCTAAAATACAAAGACAAAAAACAAGGCAAGCAGTAAATTAACAATTATGAATTGTTTTCTATTTTAACAGCTACCAATACCATTCAGATTCAGCTTTATTTTATAGAAACCCTAACAGTTTATTTAGAATGTAATGCATTATGCAAAAGAATCTACACTGTGCAAAAGATTCACACAGATTTCTTTTAATTAATAAACTCTCTCTACTTAATTTTTAATACAATATGATTTACCAAATTTCAATTTACTTAAAACCTTTAGTAACCCTGCAGTGGCGTAAAGGAATATGCGTCTGCTTTTTTCCAACAATGAAGTAAATTTGCCATTAAAAAAAAAATTTTTATCCAAAGGTCACCTTGAACTACCAAAAAAGCCAAAAACCAAAACAAAACAAAGCCCCAAAACCAAAACAAACAAACAAACAAACTGATATGCATTAACTACAGATGTATCTAAACTTCAAGTAAATAAGTCAGCCATGTTACCAAGCACAAAGCTATTGAAATTGTTAAGATTTATTTTCAGGTGCCACTGAGACTAAACAAAGATTGTAAGGAATAAAACAAATAGAAGTGAACTCAGAGAACAAATTAATACATTGAACCATTATGTTAACAGCAGCATTCCCTATGGAACAAAGTGATGAAACTATCAAAAAGCATTTCTCAAAGCAACATTTTTGCCTGTAAAAAAATTAACCTAGAATAAATATATAAATAACAGTATTCTCTATGTTAAGCCAGTAACAAAGAAACCCCTTAGTGCTGTAAAACAAAGTCTTGTCAAATCCCCATTTTTTTACAAAGAAGCATGAAGATCCTTTCACAATGGTTTAAACTGTATTTATAGTAACAGAGTGAAGACTTGAGATAAAAGTCAAAAGGATTAAAGTCAAAGCCCCAGCTCAACATGAGTTATGGTTTTGATTTTTATTCTCATTGTGGTCTACAAATATTAAGACAGAAGATACTTCCATGTGATTGTGGGATCCTCTGAGACTCTACAATCTTAGAAGAGCAGATAAAACAGATGAAAATGCATCTGGTTTGGGAGCAGACTCCATATTAAATGGCAATGCGCAAAGTAACAACTACAACTGCGGAAGGCTGTGGGGGAGGGGACGAAGCTAAAGGCTGAAATTTCTGCAACTGATGCAGGGCAGAAAGAAAAAAAAAGAAAAAAAAAGATGTGGTATTACTGTTTTAAAATGGCAGCCTGTTAATAATCACTGCATTCCTGAAAACACAGGCAAATTATACTACCATTCCTTCTTTCGTAAACTAAGCAAGCCCACCACATACAAGCATTACATACTTCTGTGAGGAAAACAGTACAGTGAGATAGCCACGTCTATATCTAAAACAAAATCCCTGAAATTGCCACTCAGAGTTTACAGATTTGGAGACCATATACTTTTCTCACAAAGAAAGAAAACAAATTCTATTGTCAACTGGAAATTTTTAGTTACTACAGAAAGAATTATTATATTTATTCTTGTTTCACATACATTTTTCTTTAAATGAAGGCAAAGCTACGTCTACACATGAGCTTTTGGTCACAGTTCGAAACATCTATTTAGCATTTCCTCTCCACTGTTTTAAGAAAATCACTCCTCCTCTCTTTTAAGAAAATCACACACACACACACACACACACTCTCTCTCTCTCTCTCTCTCTCTCTCTCTCTCTCTCTCTCTCTCTCGCAGGAGAGACATATTTTATATGATTATACTCTGTATGAATTGGAACAGTATTCTTAATGTTGAGTACTAATTCACATCTTGCAAGCACCACATATGAGTTGCATATACTCCATCCATTCTTAATCTTTACTTTCAAAATCAGACACCTGGTTTAATATTTGACGGAGAAAAGGCTAAAAGTCCTTAACAAGAACAGCAAAACCAGCAGGAACATTGTAAAATACGGAATGAGAGCATCTAATATCACAGAAATGCTTAAAAAAAGAAATACCTTTTTTCAGAGTGTAAATTAATACTACAAATTATAAAAGTAAAAATACCTTATTATGCAAATTTGGAAGAGTTCAAGTCCATATGCATTCACATAATCATAAAAAGAACATGAAAAAATGTCACTATTACCCAAATGGGTCAATTTCTCCTTTCTTCACAAAATAAGTTAAAAATTATCACAAAGTCACTTTTACAAATCACAAGTTTCTGAAATGGTATTTCCAGTACAATTGCTTGCTATTTTATTCAGCATTTTATTTCATCTGTCACATTTTGAACACATACACATTTGTACAACTACCAGGGGAAAAATAACTTGAACCAAATTGAAAAATTACCATAACTACTAGTTCAATATGTCTGGTTAAAATAGAGACATCTGGTCTATCATTAATTCTTTTGTGTTGATGACTCCTAGTGTGTCTTTTCCCATCAATGAACTTTGCAAGAGGAAAATTCAACTTTTAACAAAAAACTGTGACTTAGAAATCTATTTCAAATTATATTAATAGAGATATATAATGATTAGATCAAATAAAGCACAGTACTTTGGAGAATAGTAACATATGCTGATTGAATACAAATGGCTAGCTTTAAATTCCATCAGAATAATGTTAGTTATTAAATAATTCTATGCAGGCAGATATGGCTAATTCATGAATCATTATTTTAAAATATTTATAAATCAACTCATTGTTCACTTGTTTAAAATATACACACTGAAGCTCTATAATAGTACTTGATTGCCACTCCAAGGAGCCTGAATAATGCATTTTCAGAAGCCTTGCACACCCCCACACAATTCTGAATTAATGGCCGAGCAAACAATAAGTAATGTACTATGCTCCAGCAAAAACTCAGTGATAACATCAATCTGGCATCTACTTAACACTTACTGCTTACTTCTCACATATTTCTCACAACTAAGTTTTCCTCTCCCAGATGCAGTTCATTAGAGAATCACTATCACCTGCCCATTCATCCACAGAAAGTGAGAGATTCAGCGATTAACACAATTACAGATAAGGGGAGAAATGATAACATACGCCACTACAAAATTAAGAGATGAAGTAAAGGGGCCTGACCACTCCAGCTACCAATAACTGGATTGCAATTAAAAAGGACTTTTGTCACTTCTTCGCTGGGCAATAGGGCCAATTATCTAAAACCCTTTGCTGGAATCCAGAGACATACCAGAGCAAGGCCCTTCAACCAAACTCAGATAATTACTTTTGACAAATGTTCTCCTTGAGCATAATGTAGTTACTCAAATGTTTTTAAAAATGACTACAGTTATAGTAAAACAATCTTTACAAAGTCAACCCAATAACACGTCCTGGTACACCACCCCGGACCCTGGCTGCATGCAGTCTGCTTTCTTTTGGCCAATTATAACAGATAGTAAGTTGGTGAATAAATATTTAATTTTTGCAGCCAAAACCCTGAAAAGGCTCCGCTGCAAATTTAATGCCCTGCATTCCGAGACACACTGTACAGAAACATCCATTAAAAAAATCCATTTACAGATGTCCTTTAAAAGAAGAAGATGGGGAAAAAAAGAAAGAAAGAAAAGAAAAACCCACACATATACATGCATCAAACCAAAGACGCCGACGCCCCTCTGCCAACCAGCATTTCTATAGAGACATTCTTTCGATGATTAAAACGTAAGCTCCGAAAGGTTAAAGAAAAGGAAAAGCAGCCAAGTAACACCGCCCAGGAAGCCAGCAGTAAAACACACCTAGCTGTACACTCTTAATAAGCCCCCACTACAAATGACACTGACCCAACTTCACCAAACACACACACCGACACACACACACTCACGAATTGCACACACGTGCAGAGAATGTACACGCAAACATCGAGCAGAGCACAATACCTACAAACACAAACGAACTGGATCCACACAAAACATATGCACGTATCAGTGTGCATACATAATGCACACGACACGGCACACAGACACGCAACCACTTAGTCCACATGCACACGCCCCACAAGTCCGTTTAGGACACACACCGTGCATGCACGTGTAAAATGTTTGAACTCACAAACGCCGAACATACACACAGACTGTGCACAGAGTTATTGATGAAATTCCGGGGGGTGGAGGGGCCAGGAGGGAGTGGTAATTGCCACACAAAGGTCTCCGGAGCGGCAGAGAGGGAAGTCGAGCGGCGCCGAGCGCTCGGAAATTCACCGGTGAAGGCAGCGCCGAGCCCCGAGAGCGAAGTGCCGGGAGAAGTGTCCCGGGCGGTCCCGGGCGCGGGGCTCCGGAGATAATCGCTGCGCCCCTCCTCGCGCGCACGCACACAGACAGGGGCCCCTGGGCGAGCCCACTCCCGCAGAATAACAAAGAGCAGGAGCCTGGCGAGCGGGCGGCGGCTAGAGCTGGAAGTGGCCGTCTCAGCCGCCGCGGGCCGGCGCGGGGCGAGCGGCGGGGCCGGCGGGACGCGCGGGCGGCGGGTGGGGGGCGGTACGTACCAGGCGGGCAGCCTCGGCCCAGGTGCGGTCCTTCTTCTTCCTCTTGTCTTTCATGTTTGCATCTCATTGATGGTTCTGATGATGACGTGGGGGATTCCACGGGGTGCTCTGGGTTCGGGCGCGGAGACAATGACCCAGTGACCCGGTGACCCGCACTCGCTCCGCGGGGGGAGGCGCGCGGGCGGCGGCGGCGGCGG